ATAATAGACAACAAAGATCATCCAAGCAAATCAGTTCCAGGATCACTTTAACTGCGTTTTTGCTTGCGCTTTGACTGTGCTTTCACTGCGCTGTACTTGCGTTTTACCTGTGCTTTTGGCGCGCTTGACTTAAAATTCCGCTGACACGTGTATATTTCACGTGTCAAATTTTTAGTGGATGTCTGAACGTATCTCTACATCCGTATCTCTACGTCCAGTGTCCGGACCTAATAATTTCCCTATTTGTGAGCCAACAACTAGTACTATAATGTTGTTTATGAGAGTTTAATCCCTCATTGATGTTGTGACATAGTTTGATTCTTCATGAAGATGTGATATACTCATTTTTATATTAATTTATTTTTCAGAAATCAACTATAATTTTTATTTGATCATTACTTTTTATATGCTTTCTAAAAAATTTCATATTAGGAAACTATTTTTTTACAGTATCTTTAAAAACAAAGCACGAAGAAAGCTGTCTCAAACAAAACCTGAGATTAGAATCATAAAAATTAATTTATTAGATTTATTTTAAAATATGTGGAATATTGAAAATAAATTTAAAACCTATGTTAACAAAAAAGTTGATGATGGATATCATATCTTAATTATTTTCCTTCCACAAAGTAAGTCAATAAATTAAGTGTTAAGTAAGCCTTATTTAAATTAAAAAAGAAAGAGAAAAAAAAAAAAAAACAGATTGTCTCATTTATAAACTTTGTTTTTCTAAAATCCAACAACAAATTAATGTTGAATATTTATAGAACAAATTTGATCTTAAAAGTATAATAAAATTGATTTCCATAATAAAAAAAATCCACAAGTCACTTTTTCTTTAAAATTTCATGATTAAATAGTTATTATAAGTTTTTTTTGTCTCGTAAATTCACATAAAATGCAAATGCATGAATGACAAATCAATGGAAAAAAATCCTCAAATTTAGTGAGGACCGGAGTCAAAATTTTAATTCATGGGGACCTAAATTAAAATAATTCTATTTGTCGGCCATCTTATCACGAATGTTAGAATACATTAAAATAGTTTCGTTTGTCTTCTCATTACCGGAGCCAAGATGAATTGTAAGATCAAAATTAAAAATACAAATAACATGGCCATTAGGGCTTAGAATATATAAATATCAGCCACATGCAGTCTCGTTTGGGGGCGAGAGAGGAGCGAAAAGGAAAACGAAAGCAGTGCTCTAGATCACGAGTCACGAGTCACGAGAGAATATCAAAGGGGAAAACAAAGCAGGTCGTTTGGGTTTGGGGGCGGTCTCTGTTTGGGCCTACGCAAGTGGAAGACAAACCGGTTCAAAGTTGCGAGTTGCAAGAGAGGATCAAAGAGAAAACGAAACATGCTCTACAAGCGAAGGGAACGAAGCAGAGAAAGGGAAAACTATTTTTTTTAGGAGTGTTGCGGGCTAGAATATACGCGGCGGTAAAGTTTGTAAATTCGCGTCTGAGCGTTGTCCAAATATTCAGCACACAAACAGAAAAGAGAATGAACACCAGGATTTTTACGTGGAAAACCCGGAAGAGGGACAAAACCACGGGGCCACGCCCAGTTGAAATAATTATACTAGTGTTTGTTTGAAGTACAAAGACAGATTCATCTCACAAGTTGAGATAATCAGTTTACAATCAGCTTCTAACAAAGTTACAAAGTTATGCAAAACCCGTCGTTCTCGAAAATCTGGAAGAGTTCCGTCGTATTCAAGCAGCGGGAAGAGCTTCGGCGGTGGTCGAGGAGGAGAGGATTCTCCATTTCCCCTTTCTCTTCTTCTTCCCTTCTTCTTCTCTCTCTTCACTTGAGCCCCCTTTGTGAAGAATGATGGCTCTATTTATAGTTTTTCTATAGTGACATAGCTTATAAATAGTCGTGAGATCAGGGGCGAATAAGGAGTGGTCGAATGGATGGACGATATTGAATCCTACGATCGTGCACCATTCATTGGACATTTGAAGGCCTTAGTAATGTCGGAATTCAGTGATCTTGGGCTCGTTGGATTCGTCTCGTTGAGCCGCTCGATTTAATATAAGCTTGTTAAAATCGAAGACCATTTGGTAACTCAAATTGTGGTTTGAACCTTCCAACAGCGCTTTGGGTCTTTGATTAGGACCCATTTGGGCTCGGATTGGGTTGAATATTTGGTGTCATTGGGTTCGTATTTTCCGAGACGCCTCAGTTTGACTATAAGCTCGTGAAATCGGAGTTCCAGATGCTTCTGAATTTAATCTTTGAATGTTCACTAGCTTTTTTGCCTCTGAGATTCGTGCCCGATCAAGATAAATTTTTTTGATGACGTATCAAGGATAAACCAAACTCAATGTACAGAATAAAGTGGGTAGTTGCATTAATTCTATTTTGAAAAATTGGACTTAAAAGCGTAGAACTTTTTTAAGTAAACAATCCAATGAATAATTTAATTCATTTTGATAGAAAATAATAAAATTTAATTCATACAGCATCAACCGATTCTCATTTTTACATCCTCTGTCTTATCCAAGGTTGTGAAAATGGGACCGGACAACGAACGGAAGATGGAGGTTAATGGTTCGACCGGTTCGAACCAGTCGAACGGGTCGAACCGGATGATTTAATAAATAATAATATAATAAAGTAAAAATTAACATAATAATAATGACAATTTATTCTAAAAAATTTAAAATAATTCTAAAATTTTTAGAACAAAAATAAATAAATTCATACATATATAATATATTACATAATTTAAAATTAAATATAATAATTATTATATTTATTTTATATATTTAAATATAAATAATTACTAATTTAAAATTTAAATATATATCTTAATCTGATTTTAATTTATATTTAATAAAAATTTTATTTATATAAAAATTATAAATTAATATAAAATAATTGTTTTATGTTATATATTTAAGCATAATTTAACTAAATAAATTATATAAAAATTTTACATTATAAAATTATATTTATAATGTCATACAATATTATTTGTAAGATTTTTTTTTTTATCATTTAATTTCGCATTTAGAAAAAGTTTTTGAACTTTAAAAATTATAAATTATAAATATATATATATATTAATAATATTAAGAAGTTTAGAAATTATTATGATGATTTTTTATTGGAATATTCTACAAAAAAAATTCCAACAATATCTCATTCAAAAAAGTCACATACACACATTGTTGAATGTTGACACAAAAACAACTAGTTGTTTAGTCCCACATCACTTGGGAGTTTTATGTTGTGTTTTTATATAATTTCTTTTGCCCATGAGTTAGAGCTCTCATGGTATTATGGCATATGTAAGCTAGATAATTTATATTTAATTTAGTATGATATAATAAAATTTTTGGAATCATTTTAATTAATAAAATATATGATATTTAAATTAATTTAATATTTAATTAAATATTTATTAAAAAATATTTAATATATTATTAGTTGAACCGCGGGTTCTAAAAGAACGGATCCGTTCCAACGGGTTCAAACCGTTTTCATAGGTTGTTGTCAGCCCGGTTCTTAGGGAAGACCGAAGACCGGTTTCCACGTTGAAGCCGTCGACCGGCGGTGCATGGTTTCAAAACCATGGTCCTTATCTTTTGTTTTTTTTTTTTATATCTGTTTTTTTTTTTTAAATCTAGTTTATACTGTTTTTTAGGAAGAGATTATTACGTATGATGTCCAGACCGTCCGGAGGCGAATTGGACGCGCCACATCACCCGGATGCACTGGGCCCCAGGTGGCGTGGCGCATCCGGATTCGCCTCCGGACAAATCCAAACGCATACGTAATAATTTTCCTTTTTTAGGAGGGGCACGTGCCCCTCTCCGCCCATGTATTTAGCAATCCATAAAAAAATAATATTCAAATTTTTTGTTTAAATGCAATTAAGAAGGGGCCTAAATAATTAGATTTGCTTTAAAATTAGTACAACATAAAATATTAATATATTACACCTATTTAAAAGCATATCTAAAAACTTTGAGGCCATCATAATCATATTTTTTGTCAAATCATCATTGTTCACTTTGTAGACCATATTTATGTTTAATAAGCGCACATAATTATTACTTTTAATATTGTGAATTAATTATTTACTATAGAAAACTTCAAATAATAAATGTGTACTTCTTCATGATCATATTATATATATATATATATAGGGAAAATATTATGAGATGTAGCCTATCTTAATGTAGTGGTTGAGAATTTCAATTTTATTATATATAATATTTTGAATATTCTTCTTCATCAATTATCTAATATCAATAATCAACTAAAAATACACTCATTTATAATTTTATTCATATTATAATTATTAAAAATTTTAATTCTTTTGTTTGGAATAGGAGCATTTAATTTTATTATTATAACGAATAACTAATCGATTTGAAGCACTGATAAATATTTCGGAGTAAAAAAAATATTTATCTTATGAGTTAATTCTTTCAAGACTTAGTCTATCTATAATATATTTTTATTAAAATAATATAAAAATAAAAATTGATTATTTTTGTAATGTATATATGTATATAATATAATGAGTTGATTTCAAATTGAATAGAATTTATTTGGATCATTAAATCATGTAATTGTTTTTAATTTAAAATAAATTAAATTTTGAGTTATTCTTACATGATTTTTAAGTGTAAGACATAATTATCATAATTATCAATAATGTTTTTATTTGAAGGCCTAAAAAGGCATAGTTAGAAAGTATTAAAAATGATATTGTTTATTATTATATTTAAAGCAGCTTTTTAATACAAAAATTTTAATTTTATGACATAGTACTACAAATTTTTTAGGGATAAAATGCATACGCCAAAGCTCAAACATAAAAGAATTAAAATAAAACTCCTTAGATTATTATATTTAAAGCAGCTTTTTAATACAAAAAATTTAATTTTATGGCATAGTACTACAAATTTTTTAGGGATAAAATGCATACGCCAAAGCTCAAACATAGAAGAATCAAAATAAAACTCCTTAGATTACATTCTCATGGCATAAACATGAATCCAAATAAACACACATGTGCACTATGACACGAGAAATTATTTTGTACGGTCACCGGACGGTCAAAAGGCAAATCAGTATCCGCCACATAATCCGGTATGCAGCGGTACACAACACTGATATATATATATAAGACATTGTCTGGTGACTACACAGAATAATTTCTCCTATGACACACTTAATGCGAAACTTTACAGTAAAAACACACAGACAAAGCCAAGATTTTTTATTTAAAAAAAAAATTATTCATCTGCATCGAAAACCTCACAAAAGCCAAATTATTTGATTGGAGCAGCACATCATTTGAACATAGCAGGCTGTGTTGGAGCAGCAGTTGGACGACCAGTATAACCTGCATGTACCAAATTATAATCAATGGGGACATAAACAAGTCATCTCGTGAGCTAACAAGTCGAGTTAGGGCCGACTCAACTCGACTTATTAGCTCATCAAACTCGACAACTGACGAGCCATTTATCAAGTCGAGTCCGAGCCGATTCGCCTCACTTATATTATGCCCCTAATCATTCATTTCTATCATTAACAATAATTACTAATCACAACTAAATCAAGATTAGAAAGAATAAAATGAAAAATGAAAAGCTCAAATAGATTGATTATATGTAGGGACCTTTGGAAGGGTCAAGGCCTCTGTTCTTGAGCTCAGCATGTTCTTGGCAAAGAGCGCAAGGTTCGCAGCAGAAATGGACGCAGCAATCGTTGCAAGGCTCAGAAGCCAACCCATATCTGGACCTCAATTTCTTTCTGTAAGTGCATGAATAAAGCCACTGGCACTGAATAGACATCAGCAGAGCATATATGCAGCAAGCTGCTGTGCAAGCTGTAATAAGAGCAAATTATTAGATGTTTATAGAAAAATTAATAGTCTAAAATAATCTCTTTAGCGTATATGTGCTATCAATTTAGTGCATAAGTACCATATTTTTTTTTCAATTTTGATTTTGTTTGGGAAGGATTTCTTTCTGCTTTTTAAAGCAGGTTTTTAGTATAAAAATTTTAATTTTTTACTAAAAAGTTACTTTAAGAAGTAGTAAGAAAGCTGTCTTAAACGAAGTCTTTATCTCCTAGCTATACAAAATTGATCATTTAAGAATTAAGAATTTGCTTGGTACGGCTGTAAATTTTAATAAAGATGATTGTAAAATTATTATGAAGAAAATAAGTTTTTGAAAGTTATTATAAAAATTTGATGGAGAAATTAACTTTTAGATTATGTTTATCTTCAAGTAAATTTAATTAATTTGAAATATACCTTCTTCACTTTCTATAATTTACATTTTCTATTTTAATTATTTGGGAAATTTCAATTTTGGACTTGGGCTTCGTTGGTATAGCTTTCTCAGTATTTTTTAAAATATTTTTTTAGTACAAAAATTTTTTATTTAAGAAATTTTATATTATAAAGCTGCTTTAAAAAATAATAAGAAAACTATCACAAATAACATCTTAAGTTTCGTTTGGGACATCTTTTTTATTGCTTTGTAAATATATTTTTTAGTACAAAAATATCTTAAAAGCAGGAAAAAAAATAGTGGTTTAAAGCTGTCCCAAACGAATCAAAAGCTATCCAAATTCGTCAAAATTGATTGCTTTCTATAGAAAATTAAAACTATTATAATGCATAAAATTTTATTTGACAAGGCATCAAAAAGTAAATTTAACTGCAAATATAAAATAATAATTTGAAAAATAAGAAATAACAAAAATCATGATAATCTTATATAATTAACTTTTATAAGACAAAAATATATATCTTATTTTATAAAATATTAAATTCTAAAAAAGATCTTACACAACAAAACTAATATTTTAGCATCACAGTATATCCTTTGAATTTTTTTTTTTTTTTTTTTTTGCAAATATACATGTGGTGGAGGTCCCTTATGTAAGAATCTCTGACATTTTTTTTTTTTAACGTTTTATTGTCGTTTGATTTGTGGTAAGTAAGAGTATACTTACAGCTCTGGCCGTCATCCACAACCTCTGCTATGCGTCCGAAGGTAACGCAGGGAAAGCACAAAGTTAAGCAACCTATGAAGAATCATTTCATAAAAGAATTATCATTTAGGGCATATCCATCATTAATCTTCTTTGAATAATTGATGCTGCACAGACTGAATATGTAAGCATCTAATTCATAATCTCTTAGTTGAAAGTCTAAGGATCTGTTTGGGATAACTTTTTGGCCGCTTTGTTTTTAGACAACGACCACAATTTCTATTTAGTCAATATTTTTTCATTACTTTTAGGCTACATTATGGACGGCTTTCTTACTATTTTCAAAAGCAACTTCTTAGTACGAAAATTTTTTAAACTAAAAAAATTTGTACTAAAAAGTTGCTTTAGAAAGAAGTAAGAAAGTCATCCCAAACGAAACTTTAATTAATTTTTGTGCTAGGAAGTTGCTTTCTATAGCAACTTTGTAATCATCTTTATAAAAACTGCAACTGTCCCATACACTCCCGAAGCTTCCAACCTACAGACTAAGGGTCTGTTTGGGATGACTACAACGCTTTATAAAGTTGGCTGTGAAGTTGCTGCCAGGAAACTAATTTGGCTATTCCAGTTGCAAAAAGCAGCTTTCCATCTCAAAGATTTTTGAAAAGTTGTGATAAAACAGCAGTAAAATGAAATTGTGATTGCTGTCTGCAAAACAAATCAACAAGAAAGCCATCCCAAACAAACACTAAGTTGGGATGCATAAGGTATCTAAATATGAAAAAATAACTTAGAGATTAGAACAATATTTGCTAAGGAAAAACAAAAAAGGAAGAAACTTACAAGTTCCCAAACCATCACCAAAGCTGCAGATGCCAACAGACCAGCTTGAGTTGGTCATCTTTACTTCTCCAAAGAGAGTCTCAAACTTTCTTCTTCTGGCGAAAGTATGCTTGGAATGTAAATATATATAATAGATAAATGCGAAATGTTCATCAAATAAAACAAACATATAAATAAATAAATAAATGGTTAGTTGAATTATTATATATATCATTAAATATAAGTAATAAAACCGGCCTTGGCCTGCCCCTTTTTTATATATCTATATATAGGAATTTACGTATGTAAGACAAAAAGGGATCAAAGGAAAGGTGCAGAAAATTCAAAATGTTATCATACGCGAGGTATGCGTATGAATCAAGCATAGAAAGTGATTTTATCTATAAATATTTATGATTATATTTAAGCTACAAAAAACATATATGATTGCATATGCTCATGCATATATTGTTATAGAGGGTGTCAAAAGTTGACATGACCCGGAAAAATTTAGGTTTGAGTCAACCTGTTTGTAAAACGGGTTGAATTCTGGTTTAAATTTTGACTTGTTTGAAAAATGGGTTAGATTCGAGTTTAGGGTTTAAAACCTGAAGTTGAACCTGCTAACCCGCGTGAATCGTGATGAAATCCGACGATCGACCACTCGAACCCATGAACGATGACTCCATATGTATGATGAAATCACTTAATGATTGGATCCCGCCTCCTACGGTGGCCCATTCTACCGCAGGACTCCCACGGTCGACAGTCGACCACTCAACCCTTCCTCCACTAGCCTATCGCAAGACCCGCACCCACAACGAAGTCAAGTATGAGACCTCGTGCCATAGTTGGGTCAAGTCATCGGCCTCCACTACAGGAAAATCGTCAATTACCGGTGGATTTTTCCGATGGTCTGTCGGCGGCCTATTTTTCGGCGGCCTAATTTTTTAGAAAAAATTCCGACGGTTTTCTGATGGCTTACCGGTGGCTTCCAGCGGCTTTACTTCTTGCGGCTTTTCCAGCTTTTTCAGCAGTTTTCTTTATTATTTTAATTAATTAATACTTTTAATTTATTTTAAGTAATTGTTAATTTAATTTAATACTAATTTATTTTAATTAATTATTAATTTAATAACTTAGTATAATTAATTATTAATAAAATTACATATTTAATTAATTATTAACTTTAATATTTTTTT